TTTGTATGTCCGGACGATCCATGTCAGTCTAGAGGGATTAAAAGGAAGTTACTTAAAGATATGGAAGTTCAAAAAATGATTGGGCTTGTTCAAAGGCTTTTTAAGACCGGTGGAAAGATTCCGGCTCTTTCGTTTATTCAACGGAATGTAAGTTTAATGTTAGACTATATAAAAAAATATATACGAGATGATTCAGAAAAACTTTTTACAATCAATTTAATCAGGAATATGTAGTTTAACGACAAAAGGTTCTTCTGAATCACCCCGTATATACTTATTAATCGATGTATAAATGCTATTATTTTAACATTTCAGCTATCGAACGATGAAATCTCGTTGGACAAACCGCTACAAGAACTTAGTTACTATTCAATACAGGACGGTGATCAAGTTCTTGTGAGGTGGTGATATCAAATAAATTATATCTACAGATATGACTGTATTTTCTACGCTGTTAAAGTCCGCTCTATGATACTTTGTTATTAAAATTTTTTTAATTGCATCGCATGTTCTTAATGAACCTTGCTGAGATTGTGAGAACCGTGCTAACCTAATAACGTAAGCTTAAGTCAATGAGATAAATACTTGCCACTACTGGAAAAAAGTATATCTTATATTTTACATTCCTTATACAATACAAATGCGATCAAAAGTACAAATTATGAAGGCCTTTGTACAAGCAGCATATGAAATATATTTTCTGTAAATGGCACAGATTGCTCTGCCTAAGTAAAACGGACTGCTCGGCCTAGTGCCAATGTCGCGCTATCAATTTTGCTGAGCTTTTTGTTCGATCTTGGCAGCCTCTTCTTTCTCAAGTTGTTCTCTCGTCAATAATGACAATCCAAGCTGGTCCTCGCGCGTAAATGGCTGTGCCATTTGTCGTAACCATCTTTTACTGATCTGAAAAATTGTAAATAAATATTATTATTGGACAAATCGCAGAATCGTAATCACTAATCGCACCTGCTACAAAAAGAAAAATTAACGTTACCTGTATAGCTTCTTCGGTTGACAAGTTGCATAAGTTATCAGTCAAATGTTCCTGTATCCATTTTGGTAGTTTGCTTCGTTTATCTATTCTTGAAAATCTCTGCGGTAGCGTAGACATGAAAAAAAAGTTTGTTAGTACAAAATTCAGAAATATTATTGTGAGGAACATACGACAGATTGTTCTCCAAAGAGATTTACCTTATCTGCAAACACCATGATACCATAATCCGTTTTCCCTCTGATCGCACGTCCTACGCACTGTGCGGCATGTCTCATGGCGTCGAAAGTTAAGAAATCATTCTCTCGGATCTGAAAAGACATAAGCACATATATCTTGTTCGAGTATACAGAAGTGTTCAATGACGGTTTTAATGTTACACTGGACTTACCTGAAACTGATCTCTGAGATACTCTAAACGCGCCTTCAAGATACGTGACTGTGTATACACGTAAGGTATGCCGAACATCAGCACGGCTCTGCCCAAATGATGATCAAAGTCGACACCTTCGGACACCTTTCCGCGAGCTACCGAGAGTAGAACGGCTCCTCTACCGTTCTCGCAAGCTTTTATGTAATTGATCAGAGCTAGACTGGTTTCCGCCGAATCCTGCGTTTCGATGAATAATAATTTATGTCTCTGAAGTTGATCCACGACTCCTTGATCGTACCTGTGACATTAAAAATGCATATTTATAAATTATTATAAAATTTCAATGCAATATATTTCATGAAATATGTATGTACGTACCAAGCGGCCACTACGGACTCCATATATAAATATGATGTAAAAAAGCAGACTAAGCCGTCAGGCACTGTCGCAGAGAATTCGACCAACAATTGACCGTAGTTTCTTATAACAGCAACGTCCTCTCGTGTCTCGTATTTCGACGAAATGGTAACTTGATCGTTACCTTTGGCAACGATCTGATATTGGAAAGGCATAAATAGATGAAGTATTGATAAAACACATCTAGACTATTTATCTTTTCTTTTTTAACTTACCATAGGTAAAAGACACGGCCTAGCCAATGTCATTGTAAACGATGACATTATGACTGGATGAAAGTTTAAAATTTTGGGATACATATCCAACGGGGATAATGTTCCAGAAGTGATTATCACGGTTTGAAATCTATCGAATATGGGCTTGATAGCGATAGAAGAATCTAGACAGCTAAAATGTAAAATCGGATTCAATACTGTCGGGGTTTTGTCATCGAATGGTTCCACTATAATCGTGAAGCCATGCGTGTATGTGGAGACCAATGTCGCAAGGTGTGTCACAAGGATTATCGGAGAAAAATCCGTTAAATCTGTTATCTCCATAGTGCGTAAGAGGGACGCTAATCTTTGCGCACAAAATCGCAATGGTTTCCGCTCGATAGCAACCTTCGCTTGGATATCTCTTAAAAACGCCGCAGGTGACTCTTGCACGACGTGTTGAACGCGTAAGCGAGTTTTCAAGTATTCGACGAATCGTTTCAGGAAGCTGACGAAATGCTCGGCGTTTCTTATGTTACCCGGTACAACTTCTGCAAAGAGAAATTTTAATGAAGGAAAATTGTTCAGTCGTCGTATACGTGAAAAATTTTTTTTAAGGCAACTTTTTTAACCTTCAAGTATTTCATTCGGTAAAATAGGGTTGGCTAAGATGACGTCAGTTTCTCTCTGGAATTGAGCATCCTTCAGTCCCTCAACCAATCTGTCGTACTCTTCCCTCAATTTATTTACATCGACTTCTCTCATCCTAAATCAAAATACAATTGATAAGAATCTTTTTACAAGAAATTCTAATACATCATATATGTATAAGGAGATCATATATAAGATGCTTTAAGATAGGACTTTTTTCCAGAAAGCTAACGTTTGACTCAGGTAGTGTCGTTGAAGCTAACGTTTGACACTTGTAGTGTCGTTGAAGAACATATGACATAAAATTTTGACATACTTACTCAGCCACAGTTTTTTCTAAAAGTTGTATGTTAGTCGAACTTCTCTCCATTGTCTTCCTATTTATCTTAACGCTCATGGAATCGATGCAGACATTATCTAAAATTTACAAACTTTCATTTTCTTGCACTGCAAGTTATTTCAGCGCCGAACATAACGTTAATTCTCATACCAATGTTATGAGCTTCATCAAAGATAACTACTGAGCTCTTGCTTAACTCCTTGGATACAGTCTCGGCGATCTTTGGATCCAATAAATAATGATAACTGTACACTACAATCTGTGCATGTAAGATCTGGAAGTGTTAAACATTGATTGTCAACTTTATCTGCTTATTATTTAAATTATTCATAAGCTCGAGTAAAAGGATTTACAAAGTTTCTTACTGTAAATCTCGCGAGGAAGTACGGGCACCAGCTTCTATCTTTCCCGTATTCTTTCAAATCGTCGATGGAATAAATACCGGGAGGGATAATTTGTTCCTTGCCCTCCATATCGAACCCTTCATAAAAATTACAAATTGGAGTAGATTCGTCGTAATTATGTCTCTCTCGTACGTATGACGCGGTGAGAGAGTGACAACGGCCATCCACAATTTTACCTTCTCGCTCTCGACTGACCTACATACAAAAATGCAATTAACTACAATTGCAGCAAATTTGTTTTACGAGTATACAAACGGTGTAGTTTAAATTACCTCGGGATGAATGCACATATTTTTACGCGAACTAAGAACTAGACCGACAATTTTTGGCTTGCTTTCCGTTTCTTTCTCATAATAGTCTATAAGCTTCTTCAGCTCCTCTATAACTTTTTCTATCTCCGGCACTGTCCGGGAACAATAAATCAATTTTGTTACATCCAACGGATGCTCCAGCATGTATGCCACAATAAGTGACAACAAAGTTATCGTTTTGCCAGTGCCTGAAGGCATCTCCAGCAGACAGTGTCCCTGAAGCACATAATTTAGCTATTTAGTTTCTCAATATTCAAGACAACGATGTCAATGAAATGCAAGAGGAAATAGACGATACCTTGGCATCCAGGCCTCGCTTGAGCTCGAGCATGTACGCATACTGCTCAGGATAAATATAATCATACGGGAAATACACAATCAATCCGTCAACGCTTATCCTGTGGCAGAAAAATAAATTCATAAATAAATACCCAAGCAAAAGCAAAACATCTTACTTGACAGAATGCTCGTACTTACTTCATATTGTCGTTTGCGCTGTCACATGCGCATGTATAACATTTACATATATTTATAGATCGTGTAACACTTCAATGTCCAATATTTATTAAGAAATATATTTAGTAAAAGGCTCTAATGTGCCTCAAACTAGGTTACGTATGTCCATCGCGCTGTTTTTGAGCCGGCAATTGAAATAAACGCAAGAGGAGAAGAATACGCCTTCACACAAACAGCTTATCGGAAAGCTTATCGGAAAAAACGTTATATGTCCCTTTAATTTTCATATATTCTTTCGTGTGAACACGCGACACATCGAACATTACCGCGTAATTATAGAATAATGAAATGCGAGGAAAGCTGTTTTCTCTCTTCATTCATCCTATTCATCCCATTCATCTCGCTTCCCCTATCAATGCACTTGGCTATTTCATTTGTCGTAAAACAGTCACATCTAACCTCTCGATTGGCTGCAAAGTAAGAATTTCTGAAAACTCAAGATTTGTCTTTTACAACCGAATTTTTACGCTTCTCTCTTCTCTCTCAATATAATTTTTAATTTTATTTCTATCTTTGTTATTCCTATTCCTCCTATTATTATAATAATTCTAATATTTATTTTTTTCTCTGTGGGCGCGTTCAGCAGACCAAGCCGCTGAGTAGCAGTAGCAGTCGAACGTGATTGGCTCTTACTTTTAGAACCAACCAATCAACGCAGAGTGTTGATAAGACGAACTCAACAGTTGTGTCTGCTGAACACGGCCATTTTCTGTTGGGCCGGTTCTTGCCGGAGTCGGATGTGATGTATATACCCTTCAATCATCTTCTTCCTCCGTGGTTGCGTCACTGCGCATGTCTGGAATCTTCGGGCGCCGCTCTGCCGGTCTGCGCGCTCCGCATTTCCTTCTCCGACAATTTCGATGTTTGATACACGTGCTCTCGGTTAATGTCGAAAGTAATTTTGCAGGGAGGAGCACAGCGGATCGTTTGCACGTAGCTCGTTATGGGTAAACCAGGTAATGTGGATGCATGCAGGTTGCAGATAGCGTTTCGACTTTTTATTTCATCGCGATCATCGCCACCGTCCGCGGTGTCGGTCTTTTCCTAACGACGAGGCTAACCTCGACGGGGAGAAGGACGCGTTTTGAAATTCTAGTGCGTGGCTGGAATCCGATATTGCGGCTTGATCCTGCGCCACTTCGATTCATAGTTGATTTCGGCAGCGTTCGCGACGACCGTAGACATATGTTTATGTCAAGTGACAAACACTTGTCTCATTGGCCGCGTGGCACTAACTCGCTAACCCTAACGACCCGACAATTGTAAATGTAAAATAAAATAAAATATACATTAAAATACACTCATCGAAATACATATAAATAAAATTTTATCCTGTGAAATCTGAAGCGAATAACTTACATTTCTTTCTTATCAGAAATAATTTATTATATATATTTGTATATTACTAACACTAATAATATATTATTATATAATAAATAAGTACGTTATTTATAAGAAATATATTTATAAGAAATTATTAATATTATTAATAATCTCTTATATATAGCACATAAAAATAGGTGTGTTAAAAATTACAAGTACATTAGCTATATTCTTTTCTCACTAATGTTCTTTTCACATTACAGCATTTTCACCAGGTGGAGGTAGAGGAGGAGGAGGAGGTGGCCGTGGTTTCGGAGGCGGTCGCGGCGGTGTCCGTGGAGGTAGACCAAGTTTCGGTGAAAGTCGGGGAGGCGGCAGAGGTGGAGGAAGAGGCAGTGGTTTTTCTCCACGTGGGGGAGGCCGAGGCCGAGGAGGTGGAAGGGGTGGTGGGAGGGGCGGAGGAGGAGGAGGCGGCGGTGGTTTTAAAGGTGGAAAGAACGTGATAATAGAACCGCATCGCCACGAAGGAGTATTCATAGCTAGAGGGAGGGAAGATTCGTTAGTGACCTTGAGCTTGGTACCTGGGGTAGCGGTATATGGAGAGAAAAGAATCAGCGTTGAGGTAAACACCACTTGGACGTTACAATACAGAAATAACGTTTTTCTTTTTATTTTTTTTACATCTGTTTGAATTAAAATGATGCACGCATTGTGCAGTCTGACAAAGCTGGCGAGCAATCGGCAGCAGGCGAGAAGATCGAGTACAGAGTGTGGAATCCATTCCGGTCTAAATTAGCCGCCGCCATCCTCGGAGGCGTCGATAAAATTTTCATGGCCCCTGGAAGCAAGGTGTTATACCTGGGCGCAGCATCGGGTACCACTGTGTCTCATGTCGCTGATATAGTTGGCCCAGTAAGTACTTATTGGAAATCTATTTGGGAATGTAATTTATATGCATACATTAGAGCCAAGTTAGCTTGCAACTGCGAATTTGGTGTCGAAGTGATGCTAGAAAAATATTACATGCACGTTTTTCTCGAGTGAGTAAGATTTGACTTTACTCTTAAAAGAACGTGCATACAGAGTCTATGCTGATATAAGAACGTATCTAAATGATATAGAATTGACAATAAATATCCTAATATTTTCATGTATACAGCAAGGAACTGTCTTTGCCGTGGAATTCTCCCATCGAACGGGGAGAGATTTGATTGATGTTGCTAAGAGAAGAAGCAACATCATACCTATAGTCGAGGACGCGAGACACCCTCACAAGTACAGAATGCTTGTAGGAATGGTAGACACTATATTCTCGGACGTCGCACAGCCAGATCAGGCTAGAATTGTCTCGTTAAACGCGCAGAACTTCCTCAAGAGCGGCGGACACTTTGTCATTTCTATTAAGGTAACATCTTTGCAATTACACAATTGCAAAGTGTATATTTAAGCTTGGATATTATAAAGCACAATCTAATAATCGAATAATGATTTTAAAGCAGTAAATTTAATTACTCTTGACTTTAAGGACAATGGCAAATAAAAAACTTAAGCAGTAAAACGTTAGCAGTAAGAAAATCAACAATTTGGATTTGCAAACGCTCATGTTATGCCTTAAATTCTTGATTGACTGATTTGCTTACTGCTTAAATTTTTGTTGTGTACCATGGCATTAAATTATATTCATATTTACCATTTGTTTCAGGCAAGTTGTATAGACTCAATCGCTAAGCCTGAAGCGGTGTTTGCGACAGAAGTGAAAAAATTACTTGAAGACAATTTGAAACCATTGGAACAAATCACGCTCGAACCGTATGAGAGAGATCACGCCGTTGTGGTCGGCGTCTATAGGCCACCACCGAAGGGTTTCTAAAATTATGTATATAGATACGTGTATAAGATACCTTATTGAAAATAATGAAATAATGAAGAACTATTGTAATGTTTGCCCTTTAGGCTTCCTGTTTATACTGTTTTTAACAAAATTGAGATAACGTTCAAAACTTCACCTTTCAAGATAAAAACATTGCGGAACATTTTATTGTATGTATGAGAACAATTTTATAAAGCGATAAAATATATAAATATAAATGCATATAACAAGTACTATAACACATATTGTACTTGGATTTCAGCCGCTTATGAAGTAAGAAATACATAATTCGAAACAAATTGATAGACTATTATTTGATTTATATTTTTATACAAATGGAATATAGGAATAAAAGAAATAGATAATAATGTTAATAATGTAATATTAATGCGATAATAAAGGAGATCAATAATAACACGTTTATATATTTGATCTTACGTAAAATTATTCTCGTACATATAAATGTACAATGTTCTCGTTTTATAATAAAAAATAAACTTTTAGATATTATTTAAAGTAAAAGCGATATAGACGCAGAATGGGCCACTTTCCACGCACGTATGATATAAAAGACATTACATTTTGTTAGCAGCATTAATTCAATCTCTGATGAGCGATGGGAGAATTCAACTGTGAACATGATTCCTTTCTATATACATATAAATGTTGAGATATTCATTATTTTCAATAAAGAATATCTACCGAATTATACACAGTGAATTAATTGAAAAATTGTCAAATTTAACTTATAGAACTTTGACTAGGGATAACGTCAATTCTCTTCCGAACTATTAGATCTTTGCTTATTTTATAAGAGAATTTCATTGCAATCTATTAAAATATAAAGCTAAAATCACTGAAACTTCGGTAAATATTATAAATCATAATTTCTTTATGACCTTAAAACTAGATGTTAATTATATTTCATACAATAACGATATGTATTACAATGAAATAGATAAGATAATATTATAATCATAATTTTGACATTTTCTTTTGACGTAACATAAGTATTCGCGCCACACAATTTAGTATCTGTTTTATTGCGCCATCTCCAAACTTTCGATTACTCTTAAGTTTTTGATCTAAATATATGTACATATGAATATACCGCAGCTGTTCACAAACCTTAGAACGAGAACGTGTGAACTTTTGAATCGACGTCACTTCTTCGTTGTGTACCCATTTTACTACGTGCTATTTTTCAAAAAACAGGTTTGAATTCAAAGAAGAATTCTAATCTTTCTGATATCTTCGATGTAGGAAATTGAGTTATCGCAAAGTTATAATTGTGATCGAACTGTTCAGAAAAAGATTGCTTAATTCTGCGGAACAACGTGGTATGATGTAAAATACACAGTAATTTTGTGACACAAAAATTCAAAAAATAATTGGTGACAAGAGTAATTTTTATTGTAAATTTAATAAAACTTTATAATCAAATGATAAATAATGATATAATATAAATCGAATTCGACTATAAATCTAGGACAATTTATATTAATTATTAATTTTTTGTATACATAAAAATATGCTTTGCGAGCTATCTATTCGATATGTGCACGGATTCTTCTGCGGAATCGTAATAAATTTCGGGTTCCAAATGATCTGTTTAAATTGATTTTCTACGACCTAAAATAATATAATGCAAAATTTAAAATAATGTTTTATTTTTAGACTGAGTGAGCGTAGTAGGTAAAAGGTCTTATTTGGTTCTTACCTTTTATATAATATATAAAGTACCGGTGAAATCACGCGATCGTATTTTTTCTTAGCACTAGTTTTTTTTATGGATGATTACTCTTTTCTTGAGATGACAATTTTTGGCAACGGACTTGTTTTCCTTCTTGGGTTAATGTTTAATGAATCCAAAGCGAAATCTTCGCGCTAATATGCGTTTATTTAGCGAAGGCTCTTCACAGTTATCAGTCACAATTATCAGCGGCGTAGCAGTGCGGTCACATGCGTAGAGTGCCAGTCTCGTAATCGCAAGAACGCGAGTTCGAGTCCACCTGATCTGCAGGAATTTTATATTTTTATATTAAACTAAAAGAAGGCATAAATATAAATAAGGGACTACGAGTTGCGAGATGACATTACTTAGCGTTAGTAGTCCCTTATTTATATTTATTCCTTCTTTTGCAGCGTTCTCCAGTGGCTTGGATTTACTACGTTCGGGTCCCGCTAAATCAACTAAATAAAATTTTTGCCACTGTTGCTGATATGTATTTTTGCTTGAGAAAAGTCCACGTATCTCACAAATTTGGCGACGCAAGATAGAAACATAGATGACAGGATAACAAAAAGCTAACTTTAAAAGGAAAGCAACAAAAGCGGCCTTCCACCGTTGTCCTCGTTGTTCCATCAGCAGAAACCCATGGATGGAGGCATGATATATCTTCTTTATCAGGCTGACGCAGGGAATCTGGACGCTCCAGACGAGGTATGTGGCTCAACAATCATGAAGAAGATCGAAATATCGCCGTTGCCGAGATTTGGGATATGATGATTTAGGTGACGTTCGATGTGGCAGATTGTCGCTCACAACGATTAAAAAAATAAATATAAAAAGGACTTAAAAAGAAAATAAGAAAACTGGATGGAGAATACGCAACGCTGAATTTGTTAACTTTATTCATTTTTGTATGCTTCTTTTTTTTTGTATCGATGTTGTAGCGGGATTTTTTATCCTTCTTACATATGTTGTGTATTCTACTAACGTTTTAAAATCACAAACATGCTAGAACCTAAAATAAAAGCTGGAATGATCTTGAAAAGTAAGATGCAAAGCACGGAATTTATTAATCTTGCTCTTTTGTTTCATCGATACCAAATATTATAGTCTCGCGTTAACTCTCAATAATCTTTTCTTCTCCCGACATCAAAATTATAATTAATTAACACGTGCGAGAAACGTGTGATTCATCGGGAACGGGTGAGCTGTTCAGCGGGAATAGATACGAGGTCTACGAGAGACTAGTATGGAATTTGGGTTGGGGACATTATTTCGCGAGAAGTGATTTTTATCACGCAACAGCGTAACACGCGTGCTACTTGATGCTCGTGCGTGTAGGTCAAAGTGTCTCGATTAGGCCATTAATGAATACTTGACCGATTACCGGCCAAAGTTTCCAAAAACAAGCTGCATAAAAATTCACCGACGTGCATATATATATTACAGGCTAAACTATTACGGGAAGAAAGATGCACCCTAAATTGTGTAACGTGTTCCTGGAATATGCAAATATCTATTATTTTTATAGCTACGTACAAGGTGTTGCAGCGACATACAGGTGAGCATGACGGGTTGCCCATTCGTGCAGGCGCGCATGGTATTTCACAGCTGTGTAGACTTTGGCGCATCATATGTGAGTGATTATGGCTACGGTCAACGTGACGCTACAAATGCTTCGAAGCATTCCTCCTCTCTTTTCTTTTAATGAAGAAAGAAGGAGAAGAAGAACCTTCCGAAGTATTTGTAGCGTCAAATGGACCGCAGCCTATAATATGCCAAAGCAAGTTTATGCAACTGTGAACGATCATGCGCGCCTGCACGAATGGGCAACCCGTCATGCTGACCTGTATGTCGGTGGAACAACCAGTACAAGAGGAAAGAGGATAAACTGGAAACAAGTAATGCCCCGTCGTTGAAAATATAAATATAACTTTTTATATAATATTGTCAGAAAAATATTACAAATATTGAACGTTCACTTTCATAAGTATAACTTGAACATCTCTCTCCAGCCTTTCACGTTCAGAAAGCATAATCGGAGAATATACCGAAGCTCTATCACTTCAGTCTGTTGAGGCAGGAAGTTTTGAATCACATATTTTAACAGAAATCGATATGTACATAATAAACTGCGTTATCCTATTAATATCGTTAAAAGTATCAGTAAAAATCTCGATGTGAGGTAGTACTCGTGGACTAGCCGCGAGCACGCAAAAAGTATAAGTGCAATAGTAGAGAGGTAACATCTATATGTAAATTTTCACACTTCCAGATAAAATATAAATCTTTTGTAATCGCGCGGATTCAACAACTTACACGATAAATAAATTCGCGAATAATAACATCTTCGCTTTAATTAACGTAACAATACGCAAGGTAAATTAATTTTAGTTTAATGATATGCATTCCGTGAATGTTGAAAATGGACCTCCGATGGTGGACGATTTAACTTTCCCTGGGAAACATCTCGACGGATGATTAGGCAAATGCGGTATATACTTTGGAAACAATGTCTTTTGGAGATCGTCACGATGCGCAATGCATGGCTGAAGCACTGCGCATTTCGCAACAATTTTTTTCGCGAATTCTTTTAAAATTAAATCAAACTAAGGCGAGAAGATCACTCATTGGAGAAGAATGACATATGTAGCGTTTGATAATAAGCGGATTTGAAATAATGTTTCTTAAATGAAACTACTAAGATGTTAATTAAAATGTGAATTAAAAGGAAGTTCTTTGATAAATCACGTTTCAGAATTGCAAGTATATAACGAAATGTTATTTTTCGGTTAATTTTAAATAGATAATTCATTTCGATGCATTTTGACTTGAGGCATTGAATTAATTTTTGGCAATATCTTTTCAATTCTCGCCTTAATCACAAAATGCGCCTATGAATACCAAACGTGACAAACAAAAAATTTTATAGGCGATCACGCGGCGCAGATCGGCGACGATGCGAAACCCGTGGCTGTCGAGTTTCGCAGCTGCGGAAAAAACGCGCGGGCTAAAAACGCCGAATATCGCAGAACGCATGATGTAAAATTGTGAGTATACCGAAAGCCCGTACGGTCGATGCAAACGACGAAGGAGTCGAACGCGGTTCTCTTCAAAAGAATTCGCTAATCTACGGGATATACAATTTATTGTCACGAGAAGCGCGTCGACTGTCGTGTGGGTTTGTCATTGACCGGAGCCTTCGTTGAAAAATTTCCTAAAAAGCTTCTTTGTAAGTGACTATCATTCACTCGGCCGAAGGCGCAGCGAACGTAAAACTCTTTAGCAGGATTGTCGCTGATCCAGCAGCGACTTCCTGGTCCCACACACGTATTTTATCGCGTCGAATAACTCGTCCTCGGACGATTAATAAACCGCTAATTCCTTTTCGCTGTGCCTTCGGCGCCGGAATGCACGTCGCTCGTCACTCTCGTCGCGACGCGACGAATCGCTCGCGAGTCATCCGCGTCGCCATTCCGCAACGCACGGGCGTCTTCGCGGATGACCACGACGCGTCGCTATTGTCAGTGTCACTCGATCAGTGCAGTTTGAGCGCGTCCTTATCAGCGCGGGATGCGGGACGCGCGTCGAGCGTCGTCTCCACCACCCGGTTATCGCCGCGCTATCTTGGTCCCGGAAAGCGATCGCCCCTGGACTTTCCCGATCGTATTTCTGATACAGAGGCACGCGGAAAACCGAGTCGTCGAGACGGTCGACGTACGATTTTCTTTTTCGAAGAACAAGCGGAATGTGCAGTACGGGAAGGACTTTGGCGCGGTGGCGGCGACGACGACGACGATCCCGAAGCCCTGGGGGGCGAGGGCTTCGCAACGAGGTAGCGGTCGGACGTCGGAGAGCAGTCGGGGTGTCACGCGTTGGAATTTAGTGGTCCCACGGTGGCCGACGATAATGACACCGCGACGCGATCCGACCGTTTACTTGTTGTGCACCAGATTCAGGAATTCCTCGCGGGTCTTCGGGTCGTCCCGGAACACGCCCAGCATCGTCGAGGTCACTGTCTTGCTGTTGATCTTCTGCACGCCCCTCATCACCATGCACATGTGCCTGCAACGTATGCAAAAGAATTTTTTTCCTTTTCCTGGGTGCGTGCTTGCCGTAATGTATAATTAAAATCGCAATAAGAAAATCGCGAAAAAAAAAAGATCGGACCGTTAGATCTCGTGTTACAGATATACCTTGATGCCTTCGCGAGAGGCAGATCTTATCGATTCGCAAGCAGGAGGATTTGATTAACTAATGTGTATCATATCGCGAACGGGTTCTCCGGCCGGCTTGGGGAAACCCGCGCGTGCCCCCGATGTCGTAACACACGACACGATCGTGGTGGTCTGTAATAGCTCTGATCTGTTATCGGTTTATATTATTTTCATAGAATAAGTCGACTTATATACATATAGTCATTCATCCTCGCGGCGCGGCGAGTCGGGCGGAAAAGTATATAGTGTCTATAAATTATTTGCACAGACCGACGAGAATATCGTCGGTCCTTGCGAGAATAGCACCGCGTTAGGAGTTATTACTTAATTATCGGTTTATCACTCTCGCGGGATAAATCGGGCGGTTTTAACCGCGCAAGGCAGTTAATTTATTCGCGCGCGGGGGCTGGTATAAAAATAGTGCCGGTGTACGCGAAAATAACGCCGGTAATAGGATTACTCGCCCGAGAAGATGACAAAAATACCTAGCCCCGATATGGCGGGAGATAAATCTGCGTGGATAATAAAGTCTTGGCAATAACGTTACGAGTTATTTGCGCGAGCCAATCGCTCTCTCTCGGGAGATACTCCGATCAATTATCATCACTGATATCTCGGAAAACCGCAACTATCGGAAGTCGCGCGCGTGATCTTCCTGAATTATTCACGATTGCGTCGGGCGTGTGCTCGCGTTTTCCATATTAATCACAGGCGACGATTAATAACCCCGGCTGGCGATCGAGGTGACACTTACGCACCCCCGCGCGAGATTTATCGGCCGCGCTAATGCATACGCCGTGTAACAAACAACCGGATCGTTACGTGAATGCTTTAATTATGTGCAACGTTCGCGCGACGGCACAAGGTCGTGTTCCCTTGCGCGATCGTTCCACCTGCGAAAACTATTCCGCGAGCCGCATAGCCGCTGATCGAAAGGAAAGCGGCCTTAACTGGCGAACCGGCTCGACATCGCAATATCTCGCCCGAAGTACCGATCTATAATTAAAAATCATCTTGTGTACATGTACATTACGATCTGTTGTAGTTGTATTATAGTTGGCAATAATTCCGATATTTTTTAATCCTTACCCTTTGTAAATGATTCATGAGATCGTTTCGTTTTCAAATGGTCCCACTTATCTTTCAAGCGCAAAAATCGCTTCGCCATTCACGTAGTTGAAGCGATTGAAATTTTGTGATATATCATAAAATTTTATACGTACACTCCCTCAACCACGACGGCGACTCCCGCAGGCTGCACAGCCTTCGTGACCGCTATCGCGATTTGTTTCGTGAGTCGCTCCTGCACCTGGAGTCGTCTGCTGAAGATCTCCACGATTCTGCAAACAGGAAATTCTTTTTTCAAAACGATGTTTAGAAACCACCGATAAATCGGGGTCGTTAAAATCCGGGCCGAGTGCATGCAAATATTATTTCTTCCCAAATCCATTATCTAGAAGAATGCTTACGAAAGCTAGGGGGAAAAAAAAGTTAACGGTTTTGAAGTACGTTGGACAGCGCATCGGAATGCCATCGGTCCTGTTTCCACATTATCGACCGTTTACTTCGCTTTTAAACGGGCGTTTAACGAGTAAACGGAGATCCCGGGCCGCTACGCGCGTGAAAGTGTCTACGGTCTTAGGAGACCAGTCTCGTCATATTCTTTCTTTTCGCCTTGATATGCCACTGATCAAGGCCAGAACTAGTGGACGTGCAACTCGACGAAATTGTCCAAGCGTCGACCGCGAATTTCGGTGAATAAAGAAGCGGAATTTCCCTTCTTTCTTATTTACACGATCGCAATTTGTCGCGCAACGTCACGCTTTGAGAAAAGGAAAAATTTTGTATTGTACAAATATGTACATCTGCATTATAAATTATAAATTGAAAAATATATTTTTCATCTATCTTTCACTATATTAAAACATATAATTCTTCGGAAAAGTAACGGCACATTTTGACTTGATTTTACTATACAAGGTCTTATATTAAGGCTTTAACTTAGGAGACTAGCATCTTAGATGTTTATCGGCTAGAATCATTATCAATAAATAATTTCTACGCATGAAAGAACGACATACGTGGTGACAGAATCGCAATTAAGTGGTTCGTCCAAGTGGAAGAGATTCGACCTTCAATTGCGAATAATCTATACTCGATATCGAGTTAATCAGTCGTGACTCAAAAACTCGCGGGAGACTCGATAAGATCCTTAATTAATATTTAACGTAATTACCTGGCGAGTTTGCTGAGGCCTAATATTTTTTTGCAGGGAAGATAGCCGATTGAAACCTTGCCATAGAACGGTACCAAATGGTGCTCGCACATGGAGAACATCTCAATGTCTTTTACCACCACCATCTCATCGTGATCCTCGTCAAATATAGCGTCATTAATTACATCTGTAACAGTCAGAGTAATATTTTTAGTCAAACTTGGCCATATAAAGATCACGTCAGCAAATACAGAATCGCCGACGAGTTTCGTGAATTAATTGCAACATTTCGTATATAGCATAATCAGGTATATCGAGGAGATCTTTGCCCTCCTTTTAATTTGATGAAATACAAAAACAGCTGAGAGCATTGTTTCACGAAAGAAACGTTCTTTTTCGTCCTAGCGGGCGGGTTATCCTGGCTGTGATTTATTCGATATTGACCTACTTACTGCACCATGGATCCTAGTGGTAGTGTGTACGTACGAGCGGACGGTCGGTACGTGCCTGCAGCTAGATAATGGTGGTGCTCTCCGCGTTTCCACGGCAACCTTAACAAGAAACACCCTCGCGATGACCGACAACGATGAATGAAACGGATTCACCTAACCGGCCGCGATTGAGCTTGAATTTTCCAAATGGATCGCGCAGACTCTAAAACTGGCTCTAATCACCATTTCTAACTTGTCGAATTTGAGACGTGATCGTGGAATAGCTTTCAGCCTCCAGCACAAACGCGTTAACTTCCAGCAGAGATGCGTTCGTCATATTCTTCGCGAAGCGTACAATTGAATCTCGTATGATATTTATTTCTCGGTAAAATGCACAGCCATAGGATGAGTTAGCGGCTTTGTGGAAGTGAAGCAATTTCCTTTCCTCTTGTATCTCCGCGCTAGGGGATATAGACCTTCGATTCTACGATCCGATGGTTAAACGTGATCGGCTTAGCCGATTCGATTAACTTTTACAGGTTGCCACGCGTATGGCATTTTAAAAATTCCATTGCGTTAGAAATCTCACGGAATTTATCGACCAGAAACATATGTGTATGTATTTGTACAATATATATTTCTTTTATATTTCATATATGTCTGTATATATGAATACAAAATTATAACTTGTTGAAGGAAATTCGGGCGAGCATGCAATGGGGCGAGATAAAAGCCACAAGTGGAATTGTCCGCGCTAGGGGGTGATTCGGTGAGGGTGGTCGAGCTTTCGTACGAAAGTGCCTCTTGTTTCAGATTCACCGTACCGTCGTTAATCGTGAGAGCTTATCTCGAGGGTCTCTCCGCTGTTCAAGCTAAGCCGAAGTGAATTAAAGTCCCCCATCCATCACCTACAGATGCTCTTAGTTTCAGATAGGTTCGTTAGAACGATACTTGATTATCGTGCGAGCGATTCGGGAAGACAGCTCGACACAAACCCAAAATTTAAAAAAAGAGAAATAATTCTTGGATCATCGGAATAAATAAAACTCGAAAAAAAATGCATGAGAAAATCGATACGAAATTGATTGCTTTAATTCATTAAAGATTTAATGCGAATTAAATCTCTATATCGTTAATCGTTATCAAAAAGTAGGCACGTTACTCGCTGTTAATTAATATCGCTAAAATCGAAGTAAATGCATATCTAAAAATATCTCGAGAGTCGTCACAACGATTTGTACAATTTAGCATATCATGTTGGATTTCCTTAGCTAGAACGAAATTGTTAAACGAGGAAAAGAACTCGTTCTCTGTATCAACTGGTGGTGAATTTTTCTACGAATCTCCGCAAACCTCGTAATTGTCCGAGCACCGTGACATTTATATTGAATGTACGTGACGCGAAGGAAGAAAAGAAAAAAGAAAGAGATGAAGGGGATTTTCCTCTCAAGCTGTGCCTCGTGCGCCCCTGAGAACCCCATTTATACCAAGAGCTTTACGCTCTCTTTTCTGTGAGTCGCACTTAAGTCCCACCCCCTCGACATCCCATTCTTTTTCTCTCCACCGCTTCCTCATTCTGCTCGCGATAGAGAGCGAGTTGAAAGTAAAAAAAAAAAAAAAGGACGAGAAGTGTGGTACTTTCACGGAGTACAGGCGCGCCTCTGTAATTTCGCGCTATTATTAGTCGCAATAAAAGAAATCTGGTTGCCGCGCGCGCGACGATTTCCCAGTTAATTACTTTATTACCCCCGCAAATTGTACCCTTGACTTTGCTGTAATTCCTTCATGTCCATCACATATATATCCATCACGGAAAGCTAAATGCGTTCTGGATTTTTTCAATTTTCAACTAGTGAAGAACTACCACTCTCTCTTTTTCTCAAACTCGTTGCGAGCTTTGACAAGATCGCGTGTACATCATACATAATATCTACAATATAGATGTTTTTCAAATATCTATAATAAATATATATTAAAGTTTTTTTTTTATTAATCTCGGAGAGTAATGTTATATAAATGATATTTCTTTGAGCTCTATTATACATATTTCGTAAGTTGGAATATAAGCTACATATTTCTTGCTTTATAAAATAATAGACTTATAATACCGTCTGATATTTTAGTGTTATTTATTGTGAGCGTATAATGTTAGTGTGATTGATGATGACGGGGGTATATCGCAAGGCATTCCAAGCAACTTCGAAGAAATTTTCTTTGACGTATACGTTGTAACACAATGACAGCACATATATTACATCTCAACGTGTACGTTTAGATATGTATACATTACATCCCTAGTATTCTTCAGATAACATGTGTCCACCGAAAGTGTAACATAAATATATCGCCAAATGTAATTCTAGTCTTGTTAACGAATTCTTGCTATCAATTCGAATTCATTTTTCTCTTATCTTTGCAAGAAGCTTATGTATCTGTCTCGGAAGTCTTGAATTGTGTCCAATCTGATAACATGTGTTTTTCGACTAGCGTGTCAAAGTCAAGAGCATTGTTTGCAGGAAACGGAGGCTCTATCGATAATCTTGCCGATCGTAAAACGAAATGTCATAATGATTCGCGATCGCGACGGCAGGAAGTCAGATTTTGCAGAAAAGCGGCCGCCAGAGGCGATCGGCAGCCGTTGTTATTAAGCAATAAACGATGGATCGCAATCGCGTGTAATTGCCGCTTGTAAAATTCATACTACACGGATCTTCGAGCGCAGCCTTGCGTTAGCCGACCGTCAAATCAAGGCTGCACTATTTTCTCTTTTTTTTCCTGCACATATACATCCGCAGACGTATTAGTTTTGCAATATTTCCAGTGCCAATTCGAAAGGAGAGCAGTTTCAATAATTCTGTAATAAACATACAATTCCGATTTTTACTTCTTGTTTTTTTTAGCTATTTTTCAAAAGTAACTGACTGCGATTAACCTTGAGAATTTTTGATAAAGATACACTATATAGCTATTTCGTTGATATATATATCTTATAAATAATGACGTTCAAAATTTCTCAATAATAAGATCGAAATCATCACCGATGTACTATATTATTTTAAAATTCGCGATGTTAATCCATTATTTTTGCCCCCCGGCAAACATTTTCAGATTAGATTAGATATTTATATTTTTTTTATTTTGATTAGATTAAATTAAAACATTTTTATTATGTAGAAAATAATCTCTCTCGAAAAATTTAAATTATTCGAACTTTAAGCTTGAAACCTAAATCATTCTTGCTTCCATTCCGAGTCTTTTTTGTCAAAAGTTGAAGGATAAACGATGCAGTATTATTTGTACGTATTTGCATTTGTGCATATTGCTTTCTATTATCGGAGGCACTTTGCAAATGCATTCTTATCGAACATATTACATAAAGGCATTTATCTGTAATGGATAGATGTATAATATGGATACGTAATAGACAAAATGACGTTGCAAAAAACAAATTTACACTATTTTTCACTAAAACTTTCCTCAATTTATGAATTTTTAAATATCGCAAATCAATCATCAAAGAAAGAGAAAAAGAGAGAGCTTTCAAAAAATGTTTTAATTATAATATATAAATTCTTATTCAATGTAATAAAAAGTAATAAAACTTGCCTTCGAGACTCTGATCGTAGCCTTTCGTAAAAAAGAGCATGGCCTTTGCGGCGCGTTCCGGCGTTTTTAGGAGTCCCTGTCGTTCCGGATCTTCGCCCAGCGAACTCAGGAGCAGCTTGTAACTTCGGGACATTTCCGGTAGCATCGCCTCTCGCGTGGGCGGTCGGTGGTCCAGCTCTAAATCGTGATGGAACATACATTTCTCGTGGCCTGAAACGCAAAGAAAACGCAACGCCGATTAGCCTGGAGAACAAAACGATCGCGTGGATGCCGATCGCATTTTCCCGCCCACGATCGTCGAGGATTTTCGCTGGACGATATAACGCTGGAACGAACAACGTGTCAACATCTTTGCTATCGCGTGTCATGACCCGTGAATCGCGTCGCGCGCATATTCACGTATAATCACGGTATAAGCTGCGTGCGGTCACGCAATTGAATATGTCTCGCGCTCATTATGCACGAGATAAGATTTCTTCCCAGCGACATGCCAGCGGATTCGATCAGATATTTCGTTTATCGTCTCCGCGTTAAATCTTCTGTTCTGTCGACAGAGAACCTGACGTAATCTGACAGCAGACCGGCAGCAGAACATAATCTGTTATTTCATCATTTAAACGGGATACCATATTTATGTAAATAATTACGAAATGGCAGATCTCTTCTCGTTTCCGTTGATGTATCGGCGCATTTCGTTGGCAGATTCCATAATATTTCCACTGGCGACATTTGCAGCTTCGTAAAAATCTGCTTTCAATTTGGCTGTATCTGAGTTCGCTGAGAAGGCTGAACAGTCTGATTTATCTCACGCGTGTGGACGAGTCAAGTTGACGACAGCATATCTTCGGCGAGTTCTCTGTTTTCCGCGACAGCTGTGCGAAACTTTTCACGAGTCTGAGATTTTCACTGTCGGAGCAAATCTCGCAGAGGTTCTCAGAGCAGATGCGGCACGAGCAGCTCGCATCGGTTAGCTCTGCATTTGCGTAACTGTTGACATTTCATTAGTCACCGGGGATTCAATGACCGATTCGATCGGTTTTCACAATGGCCTGTGAAGTTGATCGATTCGTAGACTCGCGCGTGACACGCCGCCGCGTACTTAGAAATTATGACGAGCTGATTAACGACTTAACTATGAGGGCGAGTGATAAGAATTTCGCGTATGCGAATTCCGACGACTGTTCTCTTTGGACGAACCGCTTAAGAAAATTGTTCCGTCGTTCGTGAGAGAACAAAGTGGCGTACGCGATTAAAATAGTATGCTTTTCCATTTCGTGTGCGTAAACGGTGCGTAGAAAGTGCTCGGCAAAACAGATTCAAGGTTTCGCGTGCAATATTATTCATGGACTCGCGAGCGATCGACTTCTCTAAGACGACGACGACGACGAGAGAAGCGCGTATTCATGTTGGAAACTCAGTTAGCCCGTCTCTTCCTAATGAACCGTGTCGCGTAATTGAATCTAGTGCCGACGACAAAGCGGTCATTAGAGGCGACGTGGAAAATTCGTTCGATACGACATCGAAAGAATACCAATTCCATTATCGAATCCCGCTAATTTCCAACGTGGAAAATAATTCAATATTTGCAGAAACTAATAGCAGAGAAATGTCGATCTGTTCGTTTCCATACTTGATATGCAGTAGCAGCGACGATTCCGCTGCGACAATAATAATAAATTTCTTTATGCGTTTTAACGTAATAAAATATTCATAATATCCGTTATTTCGAAAGTTCAGTTCATAAGCGAGAGATAGTGCTTTTAAATCGGTTTTAACATAAATTTTTTTTATTAAGCGATCTGATAGATCACGGCATACTTTCTTTGTAAATTTTTTGAATTTTTGCAATATCTTCAAAATTGAAGAAAATATAGTACACGAAAGTGTGCTGTGACGTCATACTTTATAGACGTCATACTTATACGTCATATTATAAGAAATGACGTCATACCTTTGAAGTTGCCGTCATCAAAGAAACTTTAGCAAGCTATAACTTTCTCAAATTTAGGTTTTTTTTAAATTCAAAAAGTACTAAAAATCGGCTTAGATTCTCTACATTAATTATGGATACGCTTAATAAAAAAAAAAAATGTTAAAACCGAATTGTCATGAAGATAGAAACGTATCCTCTCTTTTACGTTTAAAAATATCTCCGCGATAAATTGAGTCGACTAATTATGACGATATCATTAATTGTCTCTCCGTTTAATCAAGCTTTCGAAAAAAAAGTTATAACGCAATATCGAATTGTTCACGAGGCTCTCGAAACAATGACCGATATTTTTATTGTCGCAGTGGAGTTTTTAGCGATTCATTGATTACATCTTTCTTGTGGAATTTTTTTGATATCGCTCTACAATATCAAATTACGTTCAAGGAATGATTTCTCACGAGGCTTTCGAAATCACGACCGACCTTTTTATTATCGCAGTGAAGTTTTATTGATTACATCTTTCGTCTGAAATTTTTTTTATATCGCCCTGCCACGTGTCACATTTTTGTAAGTTACAGTTATACCTTGCACATCACCATAACTGTACCCCGGCGATGTGCCCATACTTGTTTATCATTTCACGATTATCGCGATGTAATACGAGAATAGTTCTTCCGACGACCGTTCATCAAAATTTATTACGTGCTGATACCGAAAAAGATTCACAGATAATAATATTCCGTAATTGATATTGTTACATATACAATAATTTATCAATTCTTAAATGGATGAATTTTGTATCCATGAAGTAAAAATATACAGCGAATAACACGAAAACGTCTAAAAAAATATAAATGACTTTTACTTTTTCAAAGACTCAACTTTTAATTTTGTGATTAACTCGAGAATATTTAAACTGTTTCTTTTTGAGGATGACGTCGTGTCTCTAATGAGAATTTTATAAGGTTACTATATTTCTGCACATTAATGCGTTTTAAAATATTTATCATTATTATCATAAAATATTAATTATCATAAAATATTAATGCGTTATAAAATATATCTCAAAAAATAATTATATGTATAACATGGCCAATTTAATTCTTGGAAATTTGAGTGAAATCTTAAATGTCAGGATTTTATATTTTAGTTATAAGTGCGTAAATATCAATGAAATTTCGTAAAGCCCATTTAAGCCTGACGCGTTAAAACGAGATACGAGCGAGAATTACGTTATATTGTGTTTACGTCTATCGATCGGCTCGAAAAACAAGAAGCAACACTCGACACGATGCAGTAATTGCGATACACACTCTATTGTAATAATTAAAATAACTCGCCTGTCAATTTTGCACACAAGTACCTTCCGTAATTCTTTTAACAAATATGCGTTATGATCAACAAAATTCAGCAGATTTGCATTCAATGGATCATTTACATCAAGATGAAACGCAACTATCTGTAATGTTTCAAAAAGAATTAATGCGATAGAATAGAATTTTTCATGACTACGTGATTGTTTTTAATAATTATCAGGTATTTCGTACCTTTTGTCGTGGATGTACGCGGTGTTCTTGGTGTACCGGGGACATCCAGATCAGTTTCTTCGATATTGTCGCTCCACGAAACCGCCCTCAATGGTAAGGGCTTCTTGATCATTATCGAATTATCGTCCTCGCCATCATACATCTTCAGCTTCGCGCATTGGCTCGATACTCCGTTCATGATTGATAATCTTTCGCGTGTCGATCGTTCGATTCTTGGCACTTGGTTTCGATTCGGAAGGTGAGGAGGTTTCCAGGATACGTCGAGCGGTTTGGGATAGTTATACCCGTCTAAAAAGATTTGAAATGTATTGTGAGAAACGTGTTGATAAAATTAATTGAAGCGATCAGATGCAATGTATTTTTGTATAAACACTTTTGCGTTACTGAACGATATTAAAGACAGATGTTTCAATATAAATTAAGCAACAATATTATCTTACGCGTTGACCTATTAATTATACAAGGATCAGTTCCATATTTAAATTACAACGATAATGGGTCCGTTAATTTATCAATTAAGAACCGGTTGTTCCAACGTGTTGGTAAACTATATAACTAATAGACAAGCAGAAAATTTCTAGATTTAAAAAAGTCTTATGGTCGTTACCATATGTATTTTAATTTGATTCTTTATTCATCCAAAAGAGTCTCTCTTCACTAGACATCACTTGCAGTAACCGCTTTTGACATTTAACATTTATCGTATCAAGAACTTATAACTTCGCGTCACGCACATGAAAAACAATTTATCGGTACCGCTCGCGAACTGGGCACTTCCCGAAACAACTGAGTCAATTTTTTTTAAATACACAGCATTTCAATGAACAAATTTAAAACGTTCGCGTAAAACAGAATCAAAAAGACTCCTGATCGAACTTACTTCAAACACGACTCGTCGTCCTGCGGCGGAAGGAACTGTTCTCGTCCTGGCGACGAGTGAGGAGGATCTCGGAAGCTGCGCGCCGGCAAGGGCCGCGCGTGACGCACGCGAGGACGGCACGTGCAGAGCAGGGCAGGTGGAGAGACGGTTGCGAGGAGAGAAGCACCTGTACCGCGTGCGACGAGCGACGGACACGCGGAGGAGCCGCGATTCTCAGGACGGGCGGAGCGCGACTGATGCGAGCGTGGACCGAGCGACGGTGGTAGCGGCGAGAACGAACGTCACCCGCGAGTCCTTCCGTATATATGCGCGCGGTCCCCGTGTCTCTCTCTCTCTCTCTCTCTCTCTCTCTCTCATTCTCTCCCTCCGACCGCTATTCCTACTCTGTATCACAAAGAGCCGCGATACTATTTCGCGTTGGAGATTATGAGAGAGAGGAAGAGAGGGATGATTTTCGTCTCCTCTGCGATTTGAAAATGCGTGCCAGGATGCGGTGTATCTAGACATTGCATTAGAATATCTGATGGATATCAAGTCATTAGAATATTCCCAGGTAGCAGGATGACGTCTAAAGACGTCTTAATGACGTTTTATTGACGTTATAGAGACGTCATTAATACGTTATTAATACGTCACTTGACGTCACTCTGCTACCTGGGTTATCCCGCATCGACAGGAAGTAAGATTTTCGCGGTTTATGTTACCGTGTTTCTTATCATTTCGTCTCTTTTCCTCCCTCGTGCACCGCATTTATGATCGACAATGAGGTAATGATTTCGCGCCAGGACGCAGGACTGCCTAGTCCTCGAGACTCGAGTGCAACTCGGGGAATTAATAGAATCATGCCCTTTGTACCCTTGGATTTCCGCTATCTTTTCTCTTTGTGTGTTTTGCATCGATCTATCCACGTTTCTTTCATCCATTCTATCAGAAACTTCGCGTAGATATTATTATAAAATATTATTGTAAAATTAGAGTCTTAAAAAAACTTGAAACATAAAGAATCTAATAAAATTTTATAATTAAGAAATTAGCTTAACGAAATGATATTTAATTGATTAGATAATTAATTGATAATTTTTATTGGTTCATCAAGGAATTTTAGTCGATCAATTGAATAAAAAAACGGAAAAGGAAAAAAGAACTTTTTGTTAGTGTCTATAAATTCTTACGTAGAGGAACTCACTGATATTAGGCTATCTCGTTCCGTCGGCAAGGAAACCCCATCAGCTTCCTTTACATTAGCTTAAGGTATAATTAGAAAAACCCTTAGGGAATTGAATCCGGGATTTCCACCTGGTTGATTCTCACAAGGAGAATTTCCTTTCATTTTCACCGCAGAACAATATTGATTCTCCGGACAATTAAAGTTTTGTTAAAAAACTCTGCGTGTCTGTATATGCATGATGAAACGCATACGCATTACAATTATCTATTACAATTCATCCTTATAAAAGCACGTTTAAAAAGATAAAATTCTATTCTAGCCCAAGATTAGATTCCCGCAATTAAGATTCCATTAATAATTGATAATTTATACGATATCCGAGATGTATACGAAATGGAGGTAAGAAACGAAGAATGTGCAACGGGCGTAGCATAATGATCGACTTCGCGTTCTTCTTTTTCATACGTAAGATAATGTAGCAATGTAAATGTGTAAAATATAAAATAAATGCAAAATTAAATATACGATTTGCACGCCTTAATTAATTCATTTTTGCCGTGTATCAATCGCGATTAGATAGGTCTAATCTACTCATCGAAAGTTACACTCGAGATAACAAGGAGAGATTTGCGTGATTTTCGCTTCGCGGGAGACCTTTGGGGCTAAGTAGCATTTACAATAATATTTATCAAGTCAAGATGTAACGGAATGATTAGATAACGGAACGAATCACCGTTTTATCCAAGTGACATACGCACGCACATCATCGGAGTGTCCTGTGGACTTGGACCAAAAAGGGAAATAAGAGAAGCAGGAATATAGGGTAAATGGGTTTTGCAAGAGAGTCGGAAAGTATCTACGTCATGATGAATCCCGACGTCAAGCAACCGGTTCTTATATGTATATATGCGCGTTGTCTTTTCCTCAAGAGAAAGAGGCACGTTTAGAGGCACCTCACTCATTTCCTCGATATTTTATTTTCAACTCTTGTGAAAAAACGTAAAGGACCTGTATACTCGGCATCTTCCAAGTTTCTCATCCACGGATTCCCAGGTAGCAGAGTGACGTCAAATGACGTATTAATAACGTCTTAATGACGTCTCTAATAATATTATAAGCCCATTTTAGGCAATCTATAATCCGCGTCAGAAATCAAGATACAATTACATATATTTTTGATTTTGCGCGAATTATAGATAGTCTAAAACGGGTCTCTTAAACTCTGATGTTGTCGCGTTAGAATCTTTCGATATTTGATATTTGTTGATAGTATTATCTCTGTATTAAGGAGAAACAGATATATCGCTCAAGTTAAGATTTCCATGAAACATATCTTGCGTTACATCTCGTGTGTAGCGAGTATAATAAATAACGAAAATCCGATTCAATGTGTAAATAATGATGTACAATTCCTACAACCGCGCTTTATAGTCATACTTGGCTAGGCACAAGGCTGGATAATATTGGCTATATCGCGTCAAAAGATCATTCTCACCCTCGATAGTGAAAACGCGCATTACCGAGCCGGCCTCGATACTTTTTGTCGGTGAATGCCTGTGTCTTTTTGCCAGTCAGCATATGAGAATTCATAGCAGAGGAACTCGATTCCTCGCGGCATGCTTCCTACATAAACATTCTTCACAGAAGAGTAACAGGAAGGTAGTTTACAAATCGTTCCTTGTAAAGTTAAAATTTTTCCATAAATGGAGGTTTTCTTCATGAATCAATAAACTAAATAACGACACGTTATCAACAGTTATTGTTCTTGATGATAACATATCGTCCTGGTCTTCAACTTAAAAATATCCTGTATAAATGTAATATCGCCATCCTTCTACTTCCAAGTCAGAGAAGCACACGTTCATCGTTCTAACTCGACAATTTTCATTTCTTCTCGAATTATTAAAGATATATCTTTAAAAAATATTAAATGATTCCATATAATCGCAATCAATCGAGATACCCGTCCTACAGGTTGCTCTATTCAATTTCTCTTCTTATTCATGCAATTTTGAAATTCATAAATGTGTTTGCGACAAGTAAAAGACAATGTCATGATTAATCCTAATGAATAAAAAACATCCTGCATGTAAATATGTCATTCTGTCGTCCTCGGAAGTTGTAGATCTGATATTTCGTTCGATTTCGGATCGAAAGAAAAAGGGAATATCGTGAACTGCGTTTTACGGTAGAGCGGATAGACCGACGCGTTTCACGTTAACTCGCTCTCTTTTTTTACGACAATCACGACCTTCCGCGGAAATGAGAAGTCGAATAAATTATATATCGTGCGAGAGCGATCGCAACGAGCGACGTGTTGTACACCTAATCTGTATGATCGTCGTCGGCGATCGGCAAGAATCAAGTCGTTTTCCTTCGCGGAGGGATTTTACGCAAACGGAATCCCCCCGCATGACGTAGACGCGTTGAATCAGTACGCTGACTAGATGATTCTGAGATTTTTACTAAAATTACAATTTATATAGTCTGCCTTTCTTACGAATGGTGCGTATACCTCGTATACAGGAAAATTACCCAGAAGGAAATGCGTAATTACAGACATAAATGATTTATTTTAATAATAGTAAAAATAGAAAATTATGTTAAGAAGTTTAATATCAAATTATATTAAATTGCACCACATGTATTAAACAAGTAATGATGAAAAAATGTACAATTCAGCAAACATTGTATTATATTTTATATTTTTATATACATCATAAATCTTTTTCTCATTTTTTATATAGCAATAAATAATGTTTATTAAACTGTAATAACATTTTAACATTCATATTTTATAAATACCTTCCTCTTGAAATATCATAAAATACATATGTATAGACCATAAAGTTCAAAACCACAAAAATATTAATATCAAAATCAAACGTAATTATAAAGCGTGTTAGTAAGAAAATATTACCAATAAGAATTGTATATTTATTTTTCGATAGATGATATCACCTCGAATTTAATGTTGTGTTTATTCATTTGCTCGATCAGAGACGTTTTACCAAATGCAGCACCGGGAGTGAGCACTCCTCCACTGTAAAGATATAACAACACAAAAATAAAGCCAAAGTTCAACATGTAATTATAATAATTATTATTTTAATTGCTTATATTATAAACTGGAAAATTTTGAAGTTTTCAAGCAATGACTATAGGCCTGTTCGTTTTTGCTGCACTTCTGAACTAGTGCAATAAGTTAGAATGAAACAAATATATCTTCTTTCAGTTCAGAAGTGCAGCGAAAACAAATAAGCCTTATGTTAGACAGAGAGTTACATTAAGCAATTAATGATTCACTCACTTGTCAGGTATTTTGTCACTTTCGTTAAGGATTGTAATTGCCGATAAGATCGCTATGATGCTAGTCCCTTCATATGCGGGAGAATCACCGGTGACTTTGGTGACTACTTCCTTATTAGGTGGATTTGTGTGTTTATCAGTAGGTTCCGCCAATTTTTCAGTCCATCCACGGGCTTTGAACGTTATAGAAAAGTGTGTCGATTTCAAAGTTTCCATATTCGGATTCTCGTGGCTGATAAAACCGAATGAAAATAAAGAGGGATACTGCAAATATCGCGTTTAATTATTTCATATCAATCATTTTGACCTAAATCATTTTGACAATCGTAAATATTTTGAAACGTACTTTTAGAAGTAAATTACGACCGCATGCCATGCGAGTCATGATTAACAAAATCATACCGGTAATAGACAACATCAGGAGCGCAATGAAAGACCTAGTAATAAATGCACATTAGCAGAAATTACTTCTCAATACTTGTGGCATTTTATCGATATTGTACTGACTTCAACGTGGCATAAACTTGAACTTGTGCAGGCCTCTCTTTGTACTTGTCATACAGGAATCGCTGTGTACGAAGAGCTAGTGGACGATCGGCACTTGGAAACCGTACAGACCATCCTTCAGAGACATCACTTCGGTGAACTAGACCTAGACCTCTGCAATGAACGGAATTATTAACGCTGCTTATCATCAATAATAATATAATCACTATTTTTTTTGTACAAGTTTTGCATAATTTGTAAATACCTGATAATCATCAAACTTGACTTATAATTGACAAAATTATAATTTATAATTGTACACATAATGTTTTGGAAGATGCAGACCTTGGTTTTAATTTTGGTGTAAATTCGGGCAATTTGGTAGGATACAATTTTTCGCGTAATTCCCGTAGTTCATGTGCATGAGCCAGACTATATATCGCAGATTCCCAAGTTCCATAATTCAGATACGTATGTTTGTTATCGGTGGCGGTTGACCATATCGACATGTATACTTCAACATCATTGACTTCTCCTCCAAATTTCTCTTGCGTGAAAATGATTCCCAAATCGGTAGGGACACAGTCAAAGCCGCAAGCGCTCACTACGTAAATACCAGCT